TCTAAAATACCATCGTAAAAAGGAAATTACTATAAGATTATTTAATTAATGAAAACTTTTAGCAAATATCAAATATTGAACATAAAGATAAAAACATCGAAGGAAATAGAATATGTCAAAATTTAATTTGAAAATAAGTAATATTTTCTAAAAAAGAAGGGAAAAACTGGTTATTAAAAAAGTGCCACTTGAATATTAAATTTATTAATGAGGATATGGTGTAGGATTATGATTTAAATGTTTATTTTGTACAAAATATGCTTTTAGTTTAGGTATTTTATGTTTATACTTTGTTATAGATGGTTTTTTTATATTTGCGTACATTGAGAGTATTATATATCATATAGTTAGATACTTTAGAAAGCTAAAAAGAATAATAACTACTAGTTCATGATAATTTGTTATTTTTGGATAAATTTTAATCATTAAACTTTTATTTTCATGACAGTCTCAAACTATAACTGCTATTTTAAAAATTGACCTATTTTAGCCGATATTGATGAAAAAACTGCCTCCTCCTAGTTAGATTGTCTTTTTGTGATGGTTTCTAATTATCAACTTCTTATATTCATGGCAGTTTCAAAATATAAATATTACTTTAAACAGAAAAAAATTTTGAATATAACAATAAAAAACTATTCATTTTAGTTAAATTGAGATTTTATGACAGTTTTTAATCATCGACCTATTATTTTCATAGCTATTCCAAAATACAATTATAACTTTAAGAAACAACCACTTATAACACTAATATAAAAACTACTCTTTCTGATATATAGGAGTTTTTAAACAATAACTTCCTTTTTTTGGGCCGATTCCAAAATATTGCTATAAATTTATAACCATTTATAGCTCTACTATTGCAAAAACTACCCGTTCTAGTTAGATTGTAATTTCATCGCATTTTTTAATCATATATTCTTACTTTCGTACCGGTACCAAAGTATGCCTATAACATTTAAATACAACCATTTACAGCTCATACTAACGTAAAAACTACTCGTTCCAGTTAGATTGCTATTTTTTCGCATTTTTTAATCATTAACTTCTTATTTTCGTACTGGTACCAAGATATGTCTATAACTTTAAAATATAACCATTTACAGCTCATACTAACGTAAAAACTACTCGGTCTAGTTAGATTGCTATTTTATCGCATTTTTTAATCATTAACTTCTTATTTTCGTACCGGTACCAAAGTATGTCTATAACTTTAAAATATAACCATTTACAGCTCATACTAACGTAAAAACTACTCGTTCTAGTTAGATTGTTATTTTATCGCATTTTTTAATCATTAACTTCTTATTTTCGTACCGGTACCAAAGTATGTCTATAACTTCAAAATACAACCATTTACAGCTCATACTAACGTAAAAACTACTAGTTCAAGTTAGATTGTTATTTTATTATTGTTATTTTATTTTTTCAAGACGGTTCAAAAACATACAATTCACGTTAAATAACGACTATTTTGAGGTTTTGTACCAAAATGTCGCATTGAAAAATTAAGTTAAAAGAGAAGCCTTCTAGTAACGCCATCTTTCATTACTTTTTTTCCTAAAGTACACCTATTAAACACTGAAACAGACAATTAACAACAGACAACTAATTAATTAAACACTGAAAAAAATGTATTAAGTACAATTCGTTAGATATTTGGTTTTGCATTTTAGAAATGTTAATCATTATCCAATGCTTATTTCGTTTTCTTAATGTTGTTTGATTGCAATCACATACCCTCCTCTGATTGTAATCCTGAACTTGACATTAAAATAGTTTAATTCCAATTCATGTCCTGAAATGACTCACAATAATCTTTTCAGTTCAAATCCATTAGTCTGAAAAAAAACAGGATGTATAAGGATTCCGTAAAATCAAATTAATCATCGCCTCTTTCAGCACGTGCCGCATAAAGGAGCAATTAGTTAAAAAGAAGGAAATGTAAACTTAGGATATAATGAGGATATAATGCTCAGGTGCATTTGAAACTGTTTTAACCATGATTAATTTATAAGAAGCTACTTAATATACATGATAATATGTTTGCAGCTTACTTCTTTAATTGTATTATTTTTTGTAACAGCAGAAGCGTTTTAACCTTAAATCTTAGATTGATAGTTTGTACGTCTAGGGGAGGGTAGCCTAAAGCGGGTAGGTCGCCTTAAGCGGGTAGGCAATCGTATCCCGCCGCATGGAGTGCAAGCGCCGATATCTAAGTATGCCGTGATTACCCGAATGCTTACGAGTTTCAATCAGTCTCAGCGGAGCAGAAGTAAAGCGACATGGCGTAACCAATCACAAAATAAACAAATTTATAAGTTTATTAAAAAAACTCAAGGTATGCAACTTGTGGCTATTCGAAAGCCGGCTTATTTTTTTTATTGTCGATATTATTATATTATTCTAACACTATTCCCCCATAAACTACGATGTTCAATTTTTTTTTTAATTTTTTTTATTTAAGGTTATAATTATTTTAGTAAAAAATATGCTTTTGGGCAAAGCGGGTAGGGCAAAGCGGGTAGAGCAAAACGGGTAGATACCCGCTTTGCCCCGATACATTTTTATACTAACTTTTCCGTATTTTTGTAATGATGGGTTTTGGACTGAACGTGGAGATTGTAAAGACTGGGCTCATGAAGCTTGCACAACTTATTCAGGAAGAGGGTCTTATTTTTGGGAACTATGTCAAGAATAACAAATCATAATTTGAGACTGATAAAATAAGTCTAAAATTGTTATTTAAATGTTATTTTTAACGTTTATTATACGTGTGATTAAGGTCTCATTATTAATGCTTAAGAAAATTAATATGCGCTTGTATTTGTAAAATCTATGGTGCTTACCCGCTTTGCCCAAACGGCTTACCCGCTTTAGGCTCCCTTGTAGGGCAAAGCGGGTTTTTTCAATGTTTTTTATTTTTGATAATAAATAATCATAAAATTTAAAATAACGCAATAATCATTTTTTATTTTAAAGTTCAAGATCTCTCTTAAGAAATAAAATCAAAAACGCTGCGATAAAAGCCCAAAAACTACACTTTCTGAGTGTTTATTGTTAACCTACCCGCTTTAGGCCACCCTCCCCTATCGATCTTAAAGATAAGAAGAAACTTAATTTAAAAGTATTAAAATAAATTCTATGTATTTAAAATAAATGAAAATAGGAAATATTTTTATTTCTGTTTGATCAGGAACTAAAACGACAGAATACGTCGATTTCGGTAATTATATTCGGAAGTTGAAGGTGTTAACTATGTGAGTGATAAGGCTTTAAAATTATTTGGACAAGGCTCAAACTTTACATACTTGACCGTTCACGTAAATATTCAATCAAAATTGTCCTCAAAATTATATACGTTTTTATTCATTCTGAAATGTTTGGTGACGTAAAAGTTTAATTCTGGCAATTATTTTTAGACTAATATTTCAGACTAACTTATTTTATAGACTAACATGCCTGGTTGGACAAACAAAACTGCCATAGACCTGGTAAATGATGCGCCTTAAATTTTTCGCTTCAGATTTGTCAAAAGTAAAGTCATTTTCTTATTTTCAGTTATTCATAAAGGCAGCTTTCGAAATTTTATACTTTGTTATTTGTTTTTTACTTTTGAGTCTGTTAGATTATTTGTGTCACAAAATGGTCGATATTTTGATTAATGGTAAAAAAAGCAATATACCCTTGCTACTTATGAAATAATTTAAATTTATTTTGTCATCCGTCTTAGAGCTTTATTTAACTTTTGAAAACTCTAACTGTAAGAAAAAAGTTGACATTTGACGTTTGATGATGAATTTCTGTTGACAAAAGCATGGCATTAAATTCTAATTGAATCCGTCAAGAAGTTATTGAAATTTCAATCGAAAGATTGCCTCCCCCACTTATATAAAGCGAATTAATAAAAACTTATTAAGAAATTAAAATAAATTAAAAAATATTAATTGATAATTGTAATTTTCAAAACTAAAAAGTTATAATTTGTAATCTATAAATGTATCGTTTATTAAATTTAAGTTGGTATATATTAGTGAAGTTAATGTTGGTATATATTAGTGAAGTCAGGTGGGTATTAGAAAAAAAATTATTAGGGAAGTTTAAAATTATATATTTTCGAAATTTTTTGTAGTGATATTTTGTAAATTAAAAACAATTGTTTATTAAAAGACATTGTATCAACATTTAAAAATTTATTTTTTATGTTTTGAATCCCCTACCTTTCTTACTTTAAAATAAAAATTTAGAAAATTTGACTTTTAGAGTTAAAAATATAATAATTATACGTGTGAAGAACAGGTACCAACGGCAAAAAATCCCGAGCAGGTATATATATATANATATATATATAATTCTAGATTATCAGAGCTATATTTGTACTAAGATATAAAATTCAGAAAACGTAGATTAATTTCTTTCCATTCATATTAAAAAATTTATTAATTAAAATAAAATTATACGTAAATTAAAGATATTTCAGTGCTGTATAACCTTATCTAAATAACTGCAAATAAGTGCAAATGTGAAAAATTACTGATAGGGAGTGAGCCGTGTTTGGAAGACTTTACCATGCTTCGAAACACCAGTGCTTCATGCTGTATTTCATAAGCATAAATTATTAAAATACTATATTTAACATTTTTCGTTTACTTTGATTTAAATTAATATTTAATAATAAAAAAATATGAGAAAATATGCTTAATGAAAATCCTTTCTCAAAGGGTTAAATCAAAAAGAGCATTTATCTCAAATTTAATATTTATTGCACAAAATTTACTCTATCAACCGTATCACAATCATAAATGTGATTAAGAAGTCACAATCATAAAAGTGATTAAGAAGGCATGTATAATTAAAAAATAGTAATATTTGCGAATAGTGACTCAAACGACCAACAGACCTCCTAAGTGTTTTTTCGTTGTTTTTTAAATCACGTTTAAAATTCTGAAGCACTTAGTAATAGTACTTTATTTACAATCAATTTTGTTTCTATTTTTTAGGTGTCCAAATCGGTGGAATATGGATGAGGATGAACCCAGTGAAAGTATATGGACAGGAGATTACCAATATTTATCAAATTCAACAACGTCTTTATATCCACCGACAATAATTGCAACACAAATTGCAGTTGTTGATCCTCTGCTTCAGAATCCGATACCAGCCGAAATATTCCGTTACATCCAAATAATATCATTATCCCTCATCACTATCTTAGGCTTTGTGAGCAATTTTCTGGTACTTTTACTCTTCTACAGAAAGCCAACTTTAAGGAGCTTTTCCAATAGATTCGTTCTCAATCTCACGATATCTCACTTTTGGCAATGTATCCTGACATTGCCTACAACAGTAATGTCTGTGGCAGCAGAAAAATGGCTATTTGGCGACATTACATGCATTATAAGTGGATTCCTGTTCATAACGCTGATCATCACTTCCGTGCTGACCCTGTTACTTATTGCTCTTGATCGTAACTTTGCTGTCAATAGTCCTTTGCATTACACCATGACCATCACCAAGAAACGCACAGGTTTTTTGATCTTCATGACATGGTTCATCGGGGTGCTGGTCGCCTCACCGCCATTTTTCGGCGTAACGGATATTAAATATCGACCACAATGGCACATGTGCACACTTGAGTGGGAGCATAACGAAACTTACAGTTTGGCATACGGGAGTGTCCTAATTGTTCTTGGTTTCATGGTACCGTTCCTCACGACAATATGCGTCTATTCATCAATGTTCCAAGCAGCCAGAGACAATTCTGAGAGAGCCAGAAAACACAGTGTAAACAGTACCATTGTAGAATCTACCCTTCCCGAAACGTCTAGAGTATCTTCTTTGCCCCCTAAAAAGAAATACCGCAGGTGGAGTTCCGGCTCTAACCAGTTTTTTGGCGAAGAATGGAAAGCAGTTAGGACTGGACTTCTCGTTGTGATGACATTTACACTATGTTGGCTGCCATACTTTACAGTGACGTCCTTGGAAACTTATTTTTATGCCAGCAACAAAATACCAGATTATGTTTTGTTCATCGTTATTCTATGCTCTTCTAGTGCTTGCATTATAAATCCTTATTTATATGTGTTTAGGAATAAAACATCTCGCAAACATATTAAGCAAATAATTTGTCCCACTAATCTCACTAAAAACAAAAAATGGATTTTCCAAAAGGAAAACAGAGACAAAAGTAATCCCACCACACTGAATCCTTGCATCCTAACTGCTAGTCTTGAAAACGAAGGGTCAGAGAAAGTGAAAGCTCTTCCTGCTCTGTATCAGGACATTGATGGCCAATGGCAAGTATTCAGTACATCAGAAGAAAGAAGTCGAGACGATATCGATGAAACTGTATCAAATGTATCAGATGATGATTTCTTCGATAGTGGGATACACAGCTTACCAACCAGGAAGACTTTCAAAACTTCGGGTGGAAATGTGCAAGCTATATACAATAACTCTTTTACTCGCAGTGCCACTCTGAAAAACACATCTATTACGCAAGGTAATGCTTCGAGCAAGTTGTTGCTTTTCCGAATGAAGACAAGCGTGAATCGAGATTCCACGAGCAGCGACACAACAGATAACTGCAGTATTTCGTTGGAAAGCACCAATAGCAATGAACAGCATGGTGACTCAGATGTTGTGCTGCCATCTAGACGTGGCATTGGAAAGTATCTTTTCAATACTTCTGAAGAGCTTTTCGAATCCAGGCCTGCCGTGACATATCACAAGAAGCCAGTTGCTTCGAATGACGAACAAAAGAACACGAGTGAAACGCGAAAGGGCATGTCGTCTTTTGGAAGTGCGAGAAGAAAATCCTTCATTCACAGCCACATAAGACACAAGAAATCCAGCGAAACAACCCTAACGTCTTCAACTGCTTCAGAAACCCTTGATTCTTCTTCAGCAAATTCACTTACAAAGTCTAGTAGCAATTGTAATAGGCCTAAGTTAATCAGGCAAGTACAAACTATTGAACCCCCTGAAGAACATAGTGAAACTTGACTTAGATATCCCATATAAAAATACTGATTTTAATTAGACCTTGCTTTAATTTAATTTTAAGGCATCGCCATTCTGACCAGTTTCTAAATACAGAAATGCTAAAACGTTAGGAACGGGGTTGAAAGTCCATATATATATATGTATATNACGTATATATATATATATATATACATATATATTTCAAGACGGAAAAGAATAAAAACTGGTAACAAATAAATTTCATTTTTAGCTTTTTTTCGGGAATAAAAGAACATATTCATAACAACAATTCAACAATATGTATTAAAAAAACTACACTAAATTTATTTGAATTTTTTTTTTTTAATTTTTAAAAAAATTGATCTGAGCTTATTTCAATCTGAATTCGGCATTTTTTTTAGGTATTTTAAACAGAGCGGTTGCGTTATTTTGTGATTGATATTTAAAAAATAATAAATACACAAAAATAAGTTATTAAAAAATTACTTTCATTAATTTATTGGATTTAAAGTCTTTTCAAAGAGGAAAAAAATGAGAAGCTGAATTTGTCAATAACTTAAAAGGTTTTTTTTCTTCTAAAAATGCTTATAACGCATGTATAAGAAGGTAAATAAGATGTTTCCAAAACAGTGGATTGAGTTGATTTTCAAACCAAAAACCATGAGCAAGGTATTTTGTAATGTCCTCCCTTAGTACTTATTTTATAAACCTTGTTAAAAAAAATATATATTCATTAATGAATGTAATTTAGTTTTTCAGTATCTATCTACTTAATATTAATTTTCGACACCACATTGAGAAAAAAGTATGATCAAAGCTAAAAAAAAAAAAATGATAATAATTACTGTGTTTCTGGCTCTATGGGAACGCCAAAAAGATTTTATCGAATCGCTTTGTCAATGAATTTGGTAAAATTAACAATAAAATATTGTTTCACAAAGTGTGATAGAATTTTTAAAATGTGGTAAAATTTAGTAATTTTATCATTATTTAGTAATTTTATCATTGCATAGCAACCATATATTAGATTATATTTATTTTGTAGTTTTTTACTTACTGTGTGGGTATAAGAACTATACTTTTGTAAGTCAGAATTACAGAGCACCCTGTTTAATATAAAGAATGAAATATATGTATAATACAATATGTGTAATATAAGATTAGTTGTTAATCAGATTAAAAAATTCAATTATTAGTTTTTTTTAGTTTTGGTAAATTATAAAAGAAATGAACCAAGCAGTCTAAACCAGATTAATTAGATTCATAACATTGATACCGTAAGTGCTCTATAATTTGCTTTATAATGATCGAGGCGAAATAATTTCGATTCAAATTTTCTTTAAAAATTTAAGGTACATTTACATATGAAATTGCCTTTATTTTTCTAATTGATCATAATTTATAAGAAAAGTTTGATAAAATGTTTAAGAAGTATTGCATAAATGTATATTTGTATAATGTACACTTTAAGACTGATAAATTTTCTTATTTCTACTAGATTCAATGTGAAAGAGATTTATTAAGCACTTTCTATTTTTAAATGTGAGAAAAAATTACATGATAAATCTTTTTATAAAATATATAAATATGATCAAAGTAAATAAATCACCAAAATTTGAGTTGACATTTATTTGCATTTAAATTCTGAAATATAAAATCATAAAGTTTCTGCAATATTTTACAATTAATATGTAGTAGTAGCATTTTCTGATATTAGAAGGAATATGTAAGAAAAGAAGAACGAAAATTTCTGTTTATAAGTTAAAAACCATGTCATTTCTTAATAATAGATTTTATGCATAAACTAAATTCTTAACTTTGGAGCTCAGCGAAAGATGGTACTAGGGGTAATTTTTGAAAAAAAATAGACTTCTCGGGAAAAAAGAAAAAATTTTAATTTTAGTCTTCTTTAATATTCACAATTAATTATATTTTTCAAAGTTTTAAATTTTTTAGATCTCAGCGGGTAGAGGAACTAAGTGAAAAATTTTAGTTAACACTAAGAGAAAAATATGCTCGTAACTACCAGAATCTGGTAAAATTTACTGCTTTTCTGGCTCTATAAGAATATCAAAACCTCGGTAATTGTTACCGAAACGCTTTGATAGTGATTTTGGCAAAATTAACAATAAAATATAGAGGAAATTTTGAAAATTCTGGTAAAATTTGGTAATTTTTATCATAAGCATGGCATAAAAACCATTTATTCGGTTGAATTTTCTTTTCAGTTTTGTATTTTTTTACTAATTGTGTGATAATGAAAACTATAATTATGAAGACCAAAGTTTCCAGTAAGCCGCTAACATATGAACGGAATAATTTTAAAATGGATGGTTTATTAACCAGATGATGGTTATAATGGATGTTTTTTTATGAATTTTTTTTAACCAGAGATGCCACTATCCTATATACTTGGTTTATTTGTTCAGTTAAGGTTATTTCTACATTTCCCAAAACGAATAGATTTGTTAAAGTGGTATTTTCTAGTCATTCATTCTTAAAAAAACCATTTTAATTTATATATTTTCAACTTTTGCCAAAAATGGATTCATCAAAACCTATGTGATGAGGTTTCCGGCCTAAAAAGCATAAACACTAGTGGGAGTGGAAGTATTCAAATTTAAATAAGTGACTTATTAAAGGCAGCAAGGAATTTAACCCCTTAACAGTGGACACCTTAACCCCTTTAAAAGGAATTTAACCCCTTAATATTTCAGAAAAATGGACCAAAAATAAAATTTTTTTTTACTGTTTAATTTTATTCTTTATATTATTATAAAGGTAGAAAATGGTTTTTTATTACAAAAATAAAATTTTAAGGGCAATAACTACTGTATTTATAATTTTATCAATACTAGTATAATGTAATATAAAAACTCAATAATGTATTATAACAAGTTTAATGCAATATGAAAACACAACAATATGATTTTCGATAAATAAACTTTACGAATCGTTTACAATATGCTATATCCCAATACTGCATACTAGCCCATATCGTAATCAGTGAAAAACTAGGACCACTAATGCCATCTATTAGGAAAATAGTGAATTAAATATTCCAAAGTAGAAACGTACTCAGCTCGAGCATCACAAAATAGAAACGTTAATTTTTCTCCTGCCCAAAGTCAGTTCGAGCCTCACAAATACTGCCCGTAGTAGTTGCCCGAACTAGATTCGGACGATACTGGCAAGGGGTTAAAGATCAAATTTTAATCGTTTACAAGCTAAGTCTTGGTATAAAATATTAAAGTACGAAATTTGATATTTGAGTCAAATTTACTAATTATAGGACTTGACTCTCAGCCGTATTCCTAGCAAATTTAAGCTACTAAAAACGCTAATCTAGACAACACAAACTTGAAACTAACTCTCGATTCAATCAAAGTTAAAGAGTGGCTAAAGTTATATATGAATTCGTTCGAAAAATATGCACTTATTTAATATTTCATTCAGTTGAACTTTGATTCACTATACTTAAATCAAAAGGTTTAATATGAAGTAAATTCTCCGACTCTATATACGGTTTCAACTAGTATATCATTTAATCAAGTTTAAAAATGATTAAGTTGAATGATAAAATCGTCAGCGTAGTAAGATTTTAACAAAATTTGCATCATATTACGGTTTTTGGTTCTGTTACAGTTCAACATTAAACCAAATTTTGTAGGGTAATAAAAATAAAATAAAAGGCTAATAAAAATGTAAATTGTTGACTAGCAAGATAAAGTATACTCTATATTTTTAATCAGTGTAGGAGTGTTCTTTTTATCATTTACGTAATCATTTACGAACTCAATGATGTGAATTCCACTGAATCCTTGTTTGACAAGGTCTTAAAAATAAAGGTTACTATAGGTTATTTGAGGAGAGCCTGTATATGAATTTCGCCAAAAATATTGAAAGTTTATAAATTGGTGCATTTGTCCCAAGTACATGAACTATGGGTGTATGAGCACATGCTTTGTACAAATTTATGCAGCTTGAACCTATATCTCTCAATAATTTAGCATTCTGTAAAAAAAAAGGAAGAAGTTTTGGAACAACACCGAAAAAGGAATTGACGTCTACGCTCTAAAAAATTTTCGTAAATTTCGGAGAGTTGGTCGTTAATTCATACGGTCAGCTTCTTCTTTTGAGAAAAAAAGCTCAGTGCCCGTAACTGTTAATTTACAACGTTTTATTGTATAAAGCTTCCTAACTGAATTTATGGGTGAATACTCTATTACCATGGTTTTTACTGTCTCAGGCACAAAGTTCCCGAGTTCGAATCCGATTAACGTCAAAAAACTTATCTCTTCAATACTCTATGCATTAGTGATTTCTCTCATTCTTATTCACCTTGATTCGATCGTAAGTCTCAAACAAATTCAAAACTCGGATTAAAGATAATTTTTACGAGCATAGCGCTAAATTACAGCCAGTGGCCATATATATTCACGAGAAAATAATTTAAGGGTAAGTCTATATTTTTATGCTCTTGTTAGCATAACGGGCATGAATTTTTTTTTAACAGTTAGTGATTGGAGCACTTTTTTCCGGTCACAGACGATAATCTAGCTTTGAAAATTTTTTAGTACGTATGACGTCAGAACTTTTGTACCTTCAGTTCCATATAGATACAATGTAACAAATAGAAAAAAGTTCCTGTGTTTATATTGTGAATATTTTTCGTGTTTTTTGTTCTTTTTTTTTAAACTTTAGACACTGTTTTATTAGTCTATTGCTTTTGGTTTGTATGTAATGGCTTAAGTGTTAATCATTGTAAAAAGCATTTGCATATTATATTGAAAAAGTTGGTGTTGACTATTATTGAATTGGTGTTAAATAAATATTCAGTTATTCTTTATTTTCATTGTTAAGTGTGTGCTTTGAAAGCTGTTGTTATAAAAGAAAGAAACATGTTGTTTTTGGAGATATTATATATTTATGGAAAGAATAAATTCGTTTAAAAATGTTGATGTCATTTCTGTCTGCCAATTTCTGAGAAGACGTTTACTTTAATTCAATGAAATGTTTCTGTAAAGTAGTTTCTAGACTGAAAAATTTAAACTACTTTAGAGGTAAAAACAAGCATGAATCGCTTTTTATAAACATATTTTCACGTGCTTTTGCAGCCATCATTGATTTTCGGAAATTTCATATAATTACA